TTTGTTTTGTTTTGTTTTGTTTTGTTTTGTTTTGTTTTGTTTTGTTTTGTTTTGTTTTGCAATGAGGCTTCTCTCCCAGTGGAGATCTGGACATTCTGTAATTTATAGTCATAGAGAGTTGCTTGAGACATTGAGACTTTAAATGATTTACCCATGGTCACACAGTCAGTTTGGGTCAGAGAGAAGCCTAAACTTAGTTTTCTTGACTCCAAGGCAGGTCTCTATTGATTCTACTTCTATTTATTTATGCTAAAGCTAATTAATCTTAACTAAAGAATTTCTTCTTGCTTTATTTTCCAGTGATGACAAGATTTGAAAGTAATAATAGATATGAAGTTAAAAACAGCATGGGACAGATGGTATACATGGTACTTGAGGACACTGATGACATTACCAGAAATACCTATCATTCACTGCGTCCCTTCGTCATTCGGGTCATTGACTGCATGGGTCGAGAAATCATGAGATTGCAGAGGCCCCTTAGGTATACCTGTTGCTGTTCTTGTTGCTCTGATACCATGCAAGAGGTTAGTGGCTCAGGTTCCATGCCATTTTTTCATGTTTGATGAGATGGTCTTGGGAAAGTAAGTTCTCTCACCCTTGAAGAAAATCAGAGAGAAATTCCTCCTTTAGGTTTAGGTTCTCTAACCACCAGTCAGTAAGCTGAAGACTCACACTAAGAGTGAGCTCCTTCTGGTCAGTGACCTTCATAGGAAGGGCACTTCTTTCTTCTCTGAGTGGTGCTGTTGGGCAGCCAAGATGAGGGCAGCATAAAAGACTCAGTTGCAGTTTTAAGAGAGAAGTAAGGATATTAGTTAAAATGTTGTCTTACTGCCACAGTGTGTTGGTTGATTGCCACCTCCCTCCAGTTTTTTTTTGTTTGTTTGTTTTGTTTGGTTTTGATTTTATTTTTAGAAATCATTGCTAAACATGGTGGTGCACATCTCTAATCCCAGCTACTGGTAAGAGTAAGACTGGAAAATCTCTTGAACTTCAGGAGTTTTGATCTTTTGTGGACTATGGGTGGGCGTCTCCCCTAAATTCAGCATCAATATGGTGAGCTCCTGGTAGCAAGTGGCCAAAGGAAGGGTAATCTAACCTACTCCAGAAATGGGACAGGTATAAGTTTCTGTGCCAATCAGTAATAAGATTTGGCTCATGAGTGGCCCCCTTACTTTTAGCCTAGGTGAGAAAGAGTTAATCTTTAAAAAAAAAGAAGCAAACACACACACACACACACACACACACACACACACAAACAAACAAACCAAAAAAGCCTTCCTGGGGACAAAAAGAAGACAGTTTCAGTCTTAAAGGAATATTGTCTTTCCACTGGGGGATACAATGTGAACAGAACTATTTGTTCGTTTTCCAGAGAACTCCCATTGGCATTGCCTTCGTGGTTCTCCATGAAAACAGAGGGATCCATAGCATATGTGACAATGCTTCCTAGACAGCTGTGATCACTATTGATTTACTTGTGCCTAGTGAATCCGGGAATGTATGAACAAGGGCCTCTCCCATGACAGGAATAGCCAGCCATCAGATGACTTGGATCCAAGTCAAAAAGTCACCAGAACAAAAGCAGAGTGAGATCTACTATAGGTTATGTAACTAGGTACAGACAGACCCAGAAAATCATCTTCCTTTGATGAATAAACACACAATTTGTTGGTCTTTCTTTAATATTACAGACCACTGACTCCACAGTCAAAGGAATTAGATTCAAACTCTGCCTCTTAGAATGCCCCTATATGGTGACCTTGGGCAAGTCACTTAATCTCTTTTTGTCTCAGTTGTCTCAGTGTTCTCAGTTTTCTCAGTTTTCTCTCATTTTCTCAATGAATATCAGACTAGATGGTGCCATGAGCTCTTTTCTGGCTATGACCCTGTGACCCATTGTGGAGATTCTATGGGCTTATCTCAACATTAATGAAATACTTCTCTTCTGAGGTTCTGTAACCACAGTTTTCTGGGGTTGCATAAACTTGGGGGGGGGGAAGAGGACAGAAGTTAGCAGGATCCCTAGTCTATTTCTTATCCTTAAATCTGAAGACTGACCTTCTGCCTGGTTTTAGTGCTATAGATACAATCTGCTAAATAAGTAGATTGTCAGAACCAGAAGATGTTGACCAGAACAACTTCATTAGATGCCACTTAGTACCATAAAGGCTTGATAATTTATGCACAATCGATGTCACATGAGCAAAGGACTATTGCGATTAAATACATACTTACTTCCTGAATCACATTTGAGGTTTTGACACAATTTACATAAACATATCATGCGGCATTCTCTTTCTCCCCTTTATGCCTGTTCATGAGACACTACTGCTATGAGCCTGGTTTTCCCATTAAGAAAAAAAAAAACTCTGCTTAATTAAAACTACTGCAAAAGATTATAGAAAACCCACGTAGTGGCTGTAGCTAGGGTGGGAGGATCAGGGCTTTGTCCTAGGCCACTGATTACTCTTATTCTCCAGCAGCATAGAAACAACTTAACCAATAGTATCTAGTTAGAAAGAATAGATAGTTAAAATAGAAAGCTACAGTAATGAAAACTTCTTTTGTTTGCCCTTCCCTACGCCTTTCCTTTCTCTCTCTCTTTTATTTATTTATTTATTTATTTATTTTGATAACTCAGGATAAGCTTTGGGCTTCATTTTGTTTATCCAGAAAATAGTGTGTAGTATTTCCTCTAGATACAAAAATTCCTTGAGTAAGAAACTTACATCTTATTTTTTTTTTTTTGTATCGGGGATGTCCACTATTTATCAGAAAAGTACACTGCGCAGATTTATGAACCGAAAGAGGTTGGTAGAGAATATTTTAGAATTATTAAGAGAATGGTACCTAATAAGACCGAATTATTCTACAAAGCATGAAGTCTTTGGAATGTCCCTTTATAATCTTCTGTGGCCATGTTAACCTGAACCCATACAAATCTGGAATGCTTTTATGTTTCAGTTATTTTTCTGCAACTTAACCCTACCCATCCTTTTGTTTGTAGCTTGAAGTTCAGTCTCCTCCTGGTGTGCCTCTTGGCTATGTCATGCAACAATATGTTTTCTGTCAGACAAACTTCAGTATTGAAAATGAGAAGAATGAGCATGTGCTGAGCATTGAAGGCCCATGTGCAGCTGCGTGTTGCTCAGATACGATTTTTCAGGTAAGATAGAGAGACACAGGCAAGAACGTAAACGCTTGGAATGAATGAACGGAAGAATAAATAAATGAAAAAGCATTTATTAAGCATTTTCTATATACAAAGCACTGTAGTAATCATGCTGCATACAAATATAAGGTGTCGAAACAGTCTCTGTGTTCTAGGAGCTTTCACTTTAATAGAGAAAGGCAATGCAAAGAGGGGAACTCAAGCTGAAAAACTGTCACGAGGCAAAGGGTTGAATGTGGTGGAATGGTGTAAAAATAGCCTGGAAGTGGCATGGTGGGCTTGTTCCAGAAAAGATACAGCCAAAAACTCACCTATCAGAGGCCAGGGTCCCAGGGTTGGAGGTTTACATTCGGGTAGAAGGAGAAGGAGGGCCATAGTACAGGAGTATGGTTTGGAAATGGCCAGGGAGAGGCATGGAGACCTAGCTCCAGGCAAAATAAACTTAAAGCTTTCCCATTAGAATCCAGGGTCCCAGGGGCAGAGGTCAAGGTCTAGTGGGAGGGTAATGACCAGAATACAAGAAACATGGTTTGGAAATAGCCAGGAAGAGGAAAGTAGGTATTGTTTCATGTTTGTCCTTGTATTCCCAGCATTGAGCACAGTACCTTCAACCTGAGAGGCATTTAATAAATGTTTGTTAAATGGACTATTGCCAATATCTATCTCTTGTTGGCCTGGAAGCCTCAGAATGAATTGCTCAAAAGCTTTTATGTTGTTGTTCAGTCATTTTCACTCATGTCCTACTCTCCATGACCCCATTTGGGTTTTTCTTGGCAAAGATACTGGATTGATTTGCCATTTCCTTCTCCAGATCATTTTACAGATGAGGAAACTGCAGTAAACAGGGTTAATTGACTTGCCCAGGGTCTCCCAGCCAGTAAATGGCTGAGGCCATATTTGAATTCAGGTCTTCTGGACTCTAGGACCGGCACTCTATCGTCTGCACCACCTAGCTGCCCAGATAAAGGGAATGGAATTCACAAAAATGGCAACACGAAAATATGTGAACATCAGTTTACTATTTAGCAGGCAGTTATGGCAGCCCCAGGAAAATGTAATCCTGTTAGCAGTTGAAAGGGAGAGTATAGTATATTATTTGATTTCTATCCCAAATGTGAGCTTACTGTTTTTACATGACTTCATTATTTGCTAAGTTCAATAACCATTAATAACTATTTGAAGCAACAAACACTTGGAGAATTAAAATTCTAACCTAAGCTGGTATATGTATAGCTATCTGACTGGCTTTTCTAGATTTCTAGAGTGAGAAAGCTGGGGCAGAAAACCCAAACATCCTTTTTTTTTGAAATAAGCCAGGGACCACATTCCAGGGTTCTCCATACCTTTACTCAGTTATAGGAAGAAGCATTCCTTTCCAACTTTAACTCTTACTATTAACCCTGAGTAACAATTTATTTATCTTTTTCCCCCATCTTTTTCCTCATTAGCTCCAGAAGTCTAACAAAAGAAATTCCTGTAAATTTATTTCTGGATATATATATTTAATTTTTTATTAATTTATTTTGATTTATCAACAATCACTTCCATATGCTTTTGAGTTTAAAATTTTTCTCCCCCTTCCTCCCCACCACCCTCCCCAAGATGGCGCACAATCTGATATAGGCTATACATATACATTCCTATTAAACATTAGTGATGTTGTAAGTAAAAATTAGAACCAATAGGAGGAACCAACAGAAAGAGGAAACAAAACTCAATAGAAGAGAAAAAAAAATAGCAATTCAACTTCCATAGTTCTTTCTTTGGATGTGGATAGCATTTTCCATCATGAGGCCTTGGGAGATGTCTTAGATCCTTGTATTGCTGGGAAGGGTTAAGTTTATCAATATTAGTCATTGGACAATGCAGCTGTTATTGTGTATATTGTTTTCTTGATTCTGCTCACTTCACTCAGCATTAGACCATGCAAGTCTTTCCAGGTTTTTCTGAAGTCGGCCTGTTCATCATTTCTTATAGCACAATAGTATTCCTTCACGTTCATATACCACAACTTGCTCAGCCATTCCCCAATTGATGGGCATCCTCTCAATTTCCAATTCTCTGCCACCTCAAAAAGAGCTGCTATGAATATTTTTTGTACATGTGGGTCCTTTTCCCGTTTGTATGATCTCTTTGGGATATAGCCCTAGAAGTGCTATTGCTGGGTCAAAGGGTATGTACATTTTGATAGCCCTTTGGGCATAGTTCCAAATTGCTCTCCAGAATGGTTGGATCATTTCACAACTCCACCAACAATGCATTAGTGTTCCAATTTTCCCACATCGTCTCTAACATTTATCATTTTCCTGTTTTGTCATCTTGACCAATCTTATAGGTGTGATGTGGTGCCTTAGAGTTGTTTTGATTTGCATTTCTCTAATCAGTAGTGATTTAGAGCATTTTTTCCATATGACTATAGATGGCTTTAATTTCTTCACCTGAAAACTGTTCATTAGATATGTATTTTTTTAAAAATCTCCTTGTCATTTAAATTCTGTTCCTGCTGTTCTGCAGAGATTGCTCTCTGAAAGATCACCAATGGTCACCTATGCAAAACCAATAATGACTTTAAGGTTTTCACCCTACTCAATCTCTCTGCAATGCTGGACACAGTGAACTCACCTCCAATTTTTTGAGACTCTCACTCTCAACAATCTATGATACTTCACTCACTTGGTTCTCTTCTATTTCTTGCTTGTTTGTCTCTCCTTTAATGGCCTCTTTCTCTCCAAACCCCAAATGATGGCTATATTTGTGCCCCTCTTATCTTTTGTCTGTCTCAGAGAATTCCTCTGTCCATGTGGTGTCAACTCTCATGTCTTTGCGAATGACTATCAGAATATGTTTTCAGCCTTTGACCTGTGTTCTGATCCAAATGCTCATAGAATTTCTGTGCTCTGCCATCACCTCAAACTCAACATGTCCCAAAACAGGTTCCTCCACTTTCCCAATAAATTGTGTCCCCTTACCATTCTCCTCTCTCTGTCTGGTATTGATACTATCATTACCCTTAAATCCCAGACTATTAACCTGTTCCCATTGACTTCCTTCTCTCTTATGTCCAATCCATTACCATACCTTGCTAATTCTTCCTTTGAACCATCCGTGGGATTTCTCTATGTCTTCTCCATTCTCCCTGCCACATCTGTAGCTAATGGCCTAATTACCTCACTCCCAGTTTTTTATTATAGCCACCAAAATTCCCCTCTAAATAGTCCTGCATATTCACACTAGACTAATTGATTCATCTCAAGGCAATACTTAAATTTATGTCTTTTGAGAATATTCATAATAATAACTCACATTTGCATAGCACCTCCAGAGAAAGTGTTCTTAGTTAGATGGCACCCTCACTCATGTGCTTACTTTCAATATGCTTTGATGTATTATAGGTTACACATGCCTGGTAAAGTAGATATGCAGGTTATTTGATCTGGTTTTAAATAAACTAACCACAAAATGGACAAAGAACTCAAAAAGATTCCTGCAATGAAACCATAGATTGAAGATGGTACTACTAATGAGTACAACTGAAAATGAAAACATAGCAGAACTGATGCTTTTGTACTTCTAATTCCAGCTCTTTGTTAGTCATGTCTTGTGATGAAAATGATGGCTATCCATCTAATAAGATATGAAAGAAATTGACCAAAAAGTTTAAAGTCATCAGGTAGATTAACTGAAACAATTTATACTTACTATTTATTAAAAAAATAAAAATTCAACACCTTATGATTACTTTGCAAGAGCAACTAAACTGATTAACATTATGGAAGATGGAAATTCACTAGCCAAATTAAAAAAATATATATATATATGTATATGTTTATTTATATAACTGGTGGACGGTACTGACATTGAGTATCATGATTTATTAAGTGCAGTCCAGGGTACATTTTTCCATTTGGTCGAGAGTATCTCTGTGACCAGAAGAGCAGGCTGGTTTTCAAAGAAGAAAAGGAACTAAAGACCTAATTGTCAATATTTGATGGATTATGGAGAAAACAAAGGAGTTCCAGAAAAAAAAAAAAAACTACTTCCGCTTAATTGACTACACTAAAGCATCTGACTATGTCGAGCACAGCAAAATGTTGGCAAGTGCTTAAAGAAATAGGAGTACCAGATCATCTTACTTGTCTCCTGAGGCACCTTTATATGGACCAAGAAGCAGCAATTAGAACCAAACATGGAACAACTAATTGGTTTAAGATTGGGGGGGCAAAAGTATGACAAGGCTATATATTGTTACCTTATTTATTTAACTTATATATAAAGTAGATCACTTGAAATGCCAGGCTGGAAAAATCAAAAGAAGGAATTAAGGTTGCCAGGAGAAATATCAACAGCTTTAGATATTCAGATGAAATGACTCTAATGGGAGAAGGTGAAAAAGAATTAATAATCCTCTTGAGGGTGAAAGAGGACAGTGTAAAAGCTGGCTTGAAGCTTAACATAAAAAAACAAAAAAACAAAAAACAAAAAAAAAAAAAACTAAGATCATGGCAATTGATCCCATTATTTCTTGGCGAATATAGGGAAAAGAAATGGAAGCAGCATCAGATTTTATATTCTTGGGCTCAAAGGTCACTGCAGGCAGTGACTACAGCCATGGAATTAAAAAAAAACACACACTTGCTCCTTGGAAGGAAAGGTATGGCAGATCTAGACAGCATACTAAAAAGCAGAGACATCACTTTGCCGACTAAGGTCCATATAATCAAAGCTTTGTTTTTTGTTTGTTTGTTTGTTTTTCCCTAGTAGCAATGTATGGCTATTAAAGTTGGACAATAAGGAAAGCTGAGTACCACAGAATCAATGCTTTTAAATTGTAGTGCTGGAGAAGATTTTTGGGAGATCCTTGGACAGCAAGGAGATCAGTCAATACTTAAATAAATTAATTCAGACTATTCATTCCAAAGTCAAATACTGAAGCTGAAGCTTAAATACTTTGGCCACATGAAGAGAAGCTAGGACTCATTGGAAAGTACAATGATGATGGGAAAGATTGAAAGCAAAAAGAAGCATATGACAGAGAATGAAATGGATAGATAGTGTCATGGAAACAATGAACATGAGCTTGGACAGATTTTGGAAGACAGTGGACAGAACAACCTGACATGCTATGGTTCATGAGATCATGAAGACTTGGATATGACTGAACGACTGAACAAGAACAGCAATCTTTGTGACATATTTGTCATCCATAACTGTCATTAAAAAAACAAATATTTGAACTCAAAATCTTGTGGAAGTAAATGTTGAAAACTAAAAATAAAATTAAAAAAATAAAATAAAAATTAAAAAACCAAATATTCAGGTGAATTGATCTTAGAACTAGATGTGGATATTGTTGTATCACGAAGTGTTAAATTAAAATATTCAAAAAATAGTGAAGGGGGCAGCTAGGTGGTGCAGTGGATAGAGCACTGGCCCTGGAATCAGAAGGACCTGAGTTCAAACCTAGCCTCAGACACTTGACACTTACTAGCTGTGTGATCTTGGTGAGTCACAACCCCAAATTGCCTCACAAAAATAGTAATAATAATAATGAAGGATGACCAATTCTATTACGTTTAATAAAATATGATTATTAACTAATAAGTAATATTTTAGTTTGAGAAAAATGGTTTTATATACTATTAAATAAAATATTTATTTTTAAATTTGTCTATTTCACTTTTATCTTATTCTTTTGTTTATATTTTCTATATGTTTTATAATGTATATAATATTAATATGATTTTAAAACAATCACAACAGTAATAATAATAATATAACATTTATATATGCCAGGTACTGTGCTAAGCACTTTACAATAATTATCTCATTTGATTCTTACAACAACCCTGGGAGTTAAGTGCTATTGTTATCCCCATTTTACAAGTGAAGAAATTAAGGCAAACAGAGGTTAAGTGACTTGCCCAGGGTCACACAACAAGTGTCTTAGGTTGAATTTGAACTCGGTTCTTCCTGACTCCAGCCACTGATCTACTCATTATACTGTCTAAATAAATGAATGAATCGATGGTTGGATGGATATAGAGATAGATAAATAGATAAATGAATAAACATAAATAAAATACACAAATATTATTTGCTTATAGGGGTATGAAAACAAAAGTTTAGAGACCACTGCTATATCAAGAATTCTTTACCTGGGGCTCACCGGGTAGATTTTAGGGTCTTGTGAACTTGGATGGGAAAAATACATTTTTATTTCATGTAATTGGTTTCATATGTAATCCTGTATATTTTATTGTATGCATTTAAGAATAATTTTGAAAAGAGGCCCACAGGCTTCCCCAGACTGTCAAAGTTATTCAAGACAAAAAAAGTAATCAACTTTCATTCTGGAGTCTAGGAAGCTCCTTCATTCAAAGTATACCTGTTCCATGTTTTGTTCCTTCTAGATTTTATAGGATGACTAGTTTCCTAATTTTAGATAAACTAATTTGCTCTGGTATTGATAGCTAGTAAAGACATGAATGTATGACAAATTATGTGACTATTATTATTATTTGAATATTAAAGTGTCCCCTTTGAAATAATGCCATTAGCCAAACAGAGTAGATGTCCATTAGTAAGAATTTTAGACAACTTGACAAATCAATAGGACAGGATAACTTTTAGAAGGTTACAATCTACAATCAACTCCTATAGGAAGTGCCTTTTCTACTACCTCTGAGTGAACTAATTGTATTTCTGCCTATTCCAGCATAAAATACATTTAAGGAGACCATTAAAGTCATATTTCTCTCTTTCCAGATTAAATCAATGGATGGAATCAATATTGGAAGTATTTGTAGACAGTGGATTGGTGCTGCGCAAATGTCGTTAGGAGATATAGACAACTATGAGATCACTTTTCCATTAGACCTCAATGTAACAATGAAAGCTATGGTCTTTGCGGCTACCTTCCTCATTGTAAGTCTTTACTTTTTTTTTTTATATATATTTTTTTGAAATTCTAAACATACACACCAGAAAATGAGCATTTCCATATGCAAAGGAGAACACAAAAAAGATGACTGTATATGGAACCATCAATCTTCTTTTTCATACTCCTTGCTTTAAAATAACCACCTATATGGATATATTATTTGTCACTTCACATATTAGTTTCAAGACTGTCCTGCTTGTTTTGCCTTTCCTTCTGAACTTTCTTCTGTGCAATAAAAAAAAGATACTTCAATGCCTTTCATTTTAGGGATTTTTATTGCTAAACCTTACCCCTCTGGTCCTAACCCCACCCCAATTAAAAAACAAAAAGAAGAAGGGGGAAAGCCTTGACATAGTCAAGCAAAAGAAATCTGCACAGTGGTCACATCCAAAATAATGTCTCTTTCGGTATCTTGAGTCTATCCCCTTTCTGTCAGGAGATGGTTAACATGTTTCATTGTCATAGGTCCACTGAAGATGTGGTTGTTCACTGCACTGATGAGATTTCTTAAGTCTTTCACATCTCTTTCTCTTTACAGTGTTGTTATTCTTTTACAGATATATTCTGGTTTTGTTCACATCGCTGCATCAGTTCATGCAACCTAGGATGTCCTGAAATAATATTTTGTCATTTCTTAAACATAATGTTGATTACATTTTTATAACAGAATTTATTCATCTACTCCTCAATTGATGCAGCCTGTCCCCCTCCCACACATACACTTTGGATTTTAGGTTAGCTTTTTTTAAAAAATATCCCTCGTTTTAACCTCTCCTTCAAGGTCAGGAAGTTTGTTTTGCTGACTGCTATTCCCTCTTAGTATCTCATCCATCTTATCATCTTCATGCCATGCCCCTCCCTTCTTTTCCCAACTTCTTGCCCTGTTGAGATTGTTGTATTTCTACACCGAATTGTTTGTTCGTATGGATTCAGCTCTCCTTCGTCCTTTTCATATAAAAGCGAGTTTCATCTGATGTTCAGTCTCCCTACTCCTTTTTCTGTGTTTCTATACATTTTTATCATGTACCCCTTCCTTTCTGTAACAAATATATTCCTTTTACCCTCCCTCCTAAAACCACTACAACAGTGGGGGGAAAATAAGCTACTTCAGAATACTCTTTTTCTTGGTTAATTCCTTCAATAATCTGTGAATACATTAAGGCTCCAAAGGGACACTTGTTTCTTCTCTCCTCATCATAGAGCCCTTTCCAGTTGCTCAAATAAAATTACTTTTCTAGGTTTCTCAGGACTGTTATGTTTGCATTTCAGAATTCTTATTTAGCCCTAGTCTTTACATCATTGTTTTGAAGTTTGCTATTACATTGAATATTAATTAGTTTCCCTGTTAAGACTAGACTTAGCTTTACGAGGTTAAGTTACTCTTGGTTGTAAGCCTATCTATTTTGTCTTTTGGAATATTGTATTTCAAGGTCTCCTGGTCTTGTGTGAGCTTGACTCATTGATGTTTGAAATATTTCTTCCTGGATGCTCAAAATAATTTTTTTCTTGATGTGAAAGCTTAGGGTTTTGGCCATGACATTTCTGGAAGTTTTCCCTTTTTTGCTTTGTTTTGTTTGTTATTGCTTGATCTTGTTTTTTCTCTAGGAGTTGATTGTTGGACTTATTCTATCTTCATTTTGCTCTCTGATTCTAATCTATTTGGGGAGCTTTCATTTGTAATTTCTTATTTTTTAATTTTAATATTTTATTTTTCCAATTACATATATAAAAAATTTTAATTCATTCAAATTTTTTTTGAGTTCCTAATTCTCTCCTTCCCTGCATCCTCTTTTCCTTCCAAGAAAAGGCAAGCAATTTTATGTAGATTATATATATGCAGTAATGCAAAACATTTCCATAGTAGCCATACTGCAAAAGAAACACAGATCAAATAACAATAATAATAATAAAACAAGAAAAATAAAGTATTGGAGGTGGTTAACATTTTTCACCATAAGTCCTTTGGAATTGCCTTGGATCATTGTATTGTTAAGAATAGTTAAGTCATTCACAGTTGATTATCATGCAGTATTGCTGTTACAATACTCTCCTGGTTCAGCTTACTTTACTTTGCATCAATTCATATGAATCTTTGTAGATTTTTTATGAAACCCCCTTAATCATCATTTCTTATAGCGCAATAGTTTTCCATTGCAATCATATACCACAATTTGTTCAGCCATTTCCCAATTGATGGACATCCCTTCAAATTCCAATTCTTTGCCACCACAAAAAGAGCTGCTACAAATACTTTTCTACATATAGAGCCTTTTCATTTTTAAAAATTTCTTTGGGATACAAACCTAGTATTCACGTTGCTGAGTCATTTATAATTTCTTGGTATATGGTGTCAAGGGTTTTTTTAATTGAGTCTAATGAATCTTAAATTTCTCTCCTTGACCTGTTTCCTGGTTAGCTTTTTAAAATACTAAATAGCTTAAATTTTCTTCTATTTTTCAATTTTTAAAATTTTATTCTAATATTTCTTATTCAGTCATAGAGTCATTGATTTATGTTTGATTTATTCTAGTTCTCAGGGCATCTGTTACGTGGGTAAGATACCACTTTATCCTTTAACCTATTGTTCTCCTTCTATTTCATTAAAGAGCTCTATTTAATCCTCCATCTCTTACTTTATTTCTTCTAGCTATTTGTGTAGTCATTGTAGAAAATACATTTTTTTCCTTCTTGACTCACTGATTGAAGTTATTACTAAGTTACACTCTGCTTTGGGGAACTTCTAGAGCTGCAATAATTATTTATGTAATCACTGTTTTCTTTGATTTCTTCCTCTGTCCAACTTTAGTTCCTGAGCTGGGGCTTCTTGACAATGTTTTGATGTCCTTCTTTGCGTGGGGTGGTCAACCCTGCTTGTTTATTCTCTTCCTGGGCAGACCTGTCCATCCCTTCTCCCCCCACCTCTTTCTGAAGGCTCAGTCCCTGGATCTTTGAGGGTCAGAGCACTGGTTTTTCATGATTCTCTCAGTCATCTCAGGATAGTTTTAGGGACCTTAAAGTCCCTGTGGGCCATCTCTCAGTACTGCCATATAGCTCTCCTTACTTCCTTTCCCTGAGACTTTGAAGGTCTCTACCATGGGCTTTCTGACCCCTCCCTGGATCTTTCTCCAGAGACCTTTCACTTTTCTTGCCTCTGGCCACAGATCCTTACAGGTGACATATATCTGGCCTTCCATACTAAGGACTATGTTTTGTTTTGTTTTATTTTTTTCTTTAACTGTGCTGGCACTGGCTTTCCTTGTAGCTCCCTTTCCTTATTTCCTGTGGCCTTCTGCCTGTCTCTGCAGTCCTATGTAGAAGAGGTCTTGCACTTTTTTCTTCCTTCCTTGATCATTATTTGGCCTGGTGAAGTTTTCATGTTTTTGCTTTAATAGTCAAATGGGAGCTGGGTGGTATGCATCCTGTTTAGGAAACCATCTTGACTGGAAGTCTCCCACAAATGAACAAAGTCTTGACTTACGAAATTATGGCATGAATTAGGTTCTTCTGAGCGATAGCCTTAGAAATGGCAATGATTGTTTAATTTAACTAGCTTTTTGTGAACATTTGCACAGAGGAATTCCAGCATAACTGAAGTGGGAAAATAACTCTTTACCCCTTAATGTAGGAAATTTAATATTTGTTATCTACATATCTGAGTTGTTTAATGACTTTCTGTTGATGCCTTATTGTTTATATACTATATACATATATGTATTTTTTTTTTAATTCTAGGATTTCATGTTTTTTGAAAACTCTCCAAGAGACGACCGTCAACAACGTAACTAGTAAGAACAATAGAATATCATTGTTGGAAAGGCCCCTACTGGTCATCTGTGAAATCCATTCATGAGCAGAATCATGAGATAGACCATTTCCTGGAAAGGGTTATCTGCCTTCCATGTGAAGACCTTCAGTGATGAGGGACTTTGTACCTTTGAGATTAGACCATTCCATTTTGAAACAGCTCTCATTGTTAAGAAACACTTTTCCCCTTATATGGGGAATATTGATTAGATTCTTTGTAATTTCCCTCAATACTCCTACTATTACTCTCTAACAGAAGGGAAAACAAGTTTAATCTCTCTTCCAAATGACCTGAAGAAATACCTGAAGTTCTTCAAATATGTTTTGAAAGCTATCATATCAATTTCTCCTTCATAGACTCCCCCAAAAAGCATCCTGTATATTCTTGCCTCTGTTTCCATTAAGCAGTGCTATAGTATCACTGTCATTGTCCTATACACGTCCAGTTTGGGGAGCACTCCTCTGCCATTTTGGTAACATATTTGATGCACTTGTTGTCAATAGTGCATCAAGCGATTATATTAACCTGTGGCTTTCCTGTCACTTGTTGGTGTATAACACTCTCCTTTGTCTGTACTCTTTTTTCTCCTTCCATATTCTTTGAAATAAGAAGTTTAGGGGAAAAATGGAGGCTTTGCGTTTCTAAATGATAACACCGAAACTAGCCTTCCCCTCTGCCTCCCCGCTACCCCGACATAATATGCTTTTCCTTTGGAGTTTCCTGAAAGTTAATTCTATGGCCACCATAACATGTAATTCTAACATCCCTTGTATATCATACTATTATGGATCTATGATTGGCATACTCTCTCCATTGGTGCAGATGTTAACCATTTTCTGTGTTTTTATCTGTAAAATATGGGGATTATATTAGATCACCTCTTTCAGCTCTAGAACTATAATCCTATGACTCTCCCAAAAATCCTCTATAGAGATTTCATCTAATATGCTGGGAGCCTTCTATGTCTCATAACATTGAAATTGTAGAGGTGATAGTACTATTGCCATGTAGCAGCCTACTTCCTTTTCTAATTGTGCATCTCTCTGATGGTATCATTTACGTCACTTATCCTATGAATTTGTTGGTAACATATTGTAGCCTATTCACATTCATCATATGCCTTGCCATTACCCTATGGTTAATAGTCAAATTTAATCCTTCAAAGACTGTAATATCCTGTGACTCAAGGTTGGTCAACATATATATGGTTTCTTACTTTAGGAGAAAGTTTGGGGTAATTAAAAGCATGGTACAAATGGTGAAAGGCAAGTTAACCCATTGTCTGCCTCTTATTTAAATCTGAACCCAATTCATTGTCCATCCACTGGAACTATCCAAATTCTATGCACAATGATCAGTTTTATGGATTCTCCACCTAGCCTCGTATCATTGATTACACAGAAGGCCTTTATTAACTACTTTGTTTTTCTTGCATGGATAGTTAGGAAAAACTCTTTAGTTAAGCGGTGTTGTTACACATGAGAACCTCTTTCTTGACCAAAAGCCTTTGAGGGTCCTCTGTTTTCTACAGCCTTCAGCTAGTTGTATGAATATAAAGATATAGTCTTCTATAGAACATTTTTGTGAAATCCTGAGTGTTCCTTTTTTATACTTTCAGTAAGGATACTTGTGATCCTTGTGTAGATCATTTTTATAAAGAATTTGTCGAGATTAGAAAGTAAAGCACTTGGGCTGAACTAAGAAGGGCATAGTTTTTATGTCTGCTCTTTTAATCATTTCTTTTATTTTCATTGTAAACAGTTTGTTTAAGTTGGTGAGTTGACTCAGCTGTGTGACATAATATCCTATATTTCATTTTTCATTCTAACTTAATATAGATTTTATATTTTGCTTTAACAAATTGTTTTTAATACCCAATTTGAAAATGACTCTCACATTAGTAAGTTAGCTCCTGTCATTTCATTTTTTATGATATTTTTTGGTGCTAACCATGTGTTACATTTTCTACCTCTGTTCTTGAAGAAAATAGTCACGATATGTAGAAGCACAGTGAATCATGTGTTGGATGTAGGTTCAGGGAGGACTGGGTTAAACATTGGCAAAGTGGGAAGAGTGCTGGCCTTGGACTTGCTAACACCTGGGTTTAAACTCTGTCTTTGAAACATCAATTGTGCTACATGAGTAAGTCATTTAAACTTTCTAAAACTTAGGAAACTCTAACTTATTCACTAAGTTATGGGTGCATTTTGATGTGTAATCAGTGTTCCATGAATGAAAGCAAATATTTTTGGTATATTGCCATGCTGTTTTTTACTGCCTTTGGATTCAAGGTGAAAGTAATTCCATCAATGCCTTCATTTGCCTCTCCAAGTTAGACCAGTCTTCCATTAAGCTTCATCCTCCTTTTGTCTTCCGGTTTCACTTATAACAAGAATGTCAAGATTGATATAGAATGTCCGTTCATTGATCATTGGAAAGGAGCTTGCATCTAGGGTAATATCAACTGAGTTAATGTTAATAGCTATTTTTAAAATGTTGTGATTTTGACCATCATCTACCCCCTTTTCTACCTTTCTACCATGATTAATGCAGAATCAGAAAAGAAGGGCACCATATACTTGTGCTGTTGTTTTTTTTAAACTAAATGTAGGTCTTTATATTTCTTCCCACTAGATTTCATATTCTCATGTTCAGGCCATCATTCTAGCCTACTAAGATCCTTTTGGATCCCAAATCCCTTATCTAACAGGTTAGCTTTTTTCAGGTTTTATGTCATCTACAAATTTGTTAAGTATGGCATTTATGACTTCAAAACATCAATTAAAATGATGAATAGAGCACTGCTAAGAACAGAGCCCTGTGGCTCTTCACTTTAAATATCTCTTCAGGTTCCCAAGATGATAATGAGTAATTATAATCTCTCAAATTCTGGAGATTCACAATCTCTTGGAAGATTTTCCTCTCCCTAAAACTTAGAAAACTTGGATTAGGAGAACTACCCATTTCCAATCATCTGCATAAGGATTATTCTCTAGAGATTATTTTCAATGACAGCACTGAAGGATAGCCAAGCTGAGTTTTAGCTCTAATAACAAAAGAATTAAGCTTAGAAGGGATGGCGGTTTGGCTACATAAAATTAGAGTTATTTATAAATGTGTCATTGTACACATCCTAGTATGGCTTTCTGTCTCAGTTGTATTCCTCTAGGGTAAAATAGGTTGCAAAGGGTTCATACCAGAGAGCTGAGACAGATGTAACCTACTTAAAAAATGAAAGGAATACCATTGTAGAAATAAACACACAACATAGATGGAATTCTATCAGTAGAAATTAGGGGATAATCAGCCTAGTATGGCTTGTGGAGATGGGTAAATTACAAAGCTTGGTAGTGTGCAGATGTTAGAAACGCTAGAAAAAAAATGACCCAAAGTCAACTTGGAGGTATGAACTTAATGACCTCACAAGCTTCACATAATTTTGTGTCAAATGGAGGATCTTTCTATTAATAAGTATACAAATGAGAAAACAAATTGATAAAATCCCAGCAAGATGAGGTGGAATGACCCAAACAGGCCCACACTTCCAGGTGTGAACATCATTGCAGACTGGGACAATGGCATTCCATTTTTTATAAAAGGGTTATTAATTATTGAACACGAACAAATATGAAAGTGAAATATAAACTAAAATCAGAGCTATGGAAGGCAACCTTAAAAAGAGAGGAGGAAAGGGGGCAGCTAGGTGGCTCAGTGGATAGAGCACCGGCCCTGGAGGTAGGAGTACCTGAGTTCAAATCTGGCCTCAGACATATAACATTTACTAGCTGTGTGACTCTGGGCAAGTCACTTAACCCCCAATTGCCTCACCAAAAAAAAAATAGAGCAGGAAGTAACAAATTATTTTTTAGAAAATTAGGACTTCTTCACAATTGGTTGGATTGAGACATGGAGAGATGAGTTTGATATATTCTCACCTTCACACACATTTTTATGTATCTTAATATTTCTAATTAGGAAATATTTCCTACTAAAGTTCTTTGTCCATAATAAGCACTTAACGAGTGGTGTTTCATTCAGTCATTCATTCTTTCTGTGTGCACCAGTCCATATTAGAAAGTAAAAAATAGATTCATTTTTATTATTTATTATTTTATATTTTCATGAAGCCCCCCCATACACACACACAATCCATTAGCTGAGGTAATTAAGGATTGACAGAGTATGTGAAATTCAAACTAGAACAATTCCTAGCATAAGACAATTGGACGGGATCTCTCAATAGGTTTATACAAGTAACGTGTGCTTTTGCTCAAGCATACAGGAAGAGGAAAGAGGAAGGGAGGAAGAGAAGCCAAATCATTTCACTTTTTTGGGTCTTGTTTTTTTCTGTCAAATTAAACCACAAGCATTATGTACCTACTGTGTGATAGGTGAAGGGGATCCAAAAATAAAAAGCAACAGACTGCCCTCAGGGAACTTACACACTATTAAAGGATGTACCATATACCTATGTGTGTATGTAGATATAGATCAAATAAAACCAAATAAATACAATACAAATAAAATGAAGGGCTCTATGAAGTGATCTCTAAGGTTTTCCAACTTGAACATTCTATAATTCTAATTGTTCCTTATTTGAGACAAAACAAACAAACTAATTTGCTCCCTTTCTAGCAGGAAACTCTGACAGTCACATTGCTATTTTAGTAAGTGTATGCAAGTTTTATCTTATGTTCCAATTTAAAATTTATTATTTTATATAACCCTTGATAAAAATGCAACACACACTCACACACACACACACATATATATTTTTCTTTAACATTGTCATTCAGTTATTACTTTGTATGAGTCTGTATCTAGGTTAAAGGCTAGATGACATAGTGGGAAGAACATTGAATTGGAGATTAGGAATCCTGGTTGTGACAATAATTAGCTTTGTAACTTTGGTTAAATCACTTCTTCTTTGGGGGCCTTAGTTTCCCCTTCTGTAAAATGAGAGGGTTAGACTAAATGATTGCTAAAATCCCTTACAGCTCTACAAAAAAAATAAATCTGTCATTCAAAAACAAACAAATAAAAAAAAAATAAACAAACCAACAATAGCTGAAACTCAGCAAAAGCACTCTTGTTATTTTATCTGGAACTCACCTTTAGCAATAGTGAGGAATAATGGAAAGTGTCTTTGTCGTTGAGTGGCCTGGGTTAAGATCCTGGATCTGCCACTTAACTATGTTTGATCTTGGGCAAATTGCTTTACTTCCACAAGACTCAGTTTGCTCATTTGAAAAATGAGGGGATTGGACTAGATGACCTCTAAGGTACTTTCTAGATCTCAACCACAGGATCATGTGGAATCATCAGTTATAAAGATTCTTATCAATTGTACAGTTATCTATATCAACCAACAAAAACTGCACTAAACAGACTGGGGATATTTTACCCCGGAATCATTTGTTCTGCATTGTGGTCAGAAATAAAGACTTGTGTGTACCTTTAACACCGCTGTTATTTAGAATATGATAATAAAATCCTAAATCTAGAATGGGAAGAGACCTGGGAGGTCATCTGGTGTAATCTCTGCTCTACAGATAAGGACATTGACTCCCAGAGATATTGAGACGTGCTCCATTGTCAGACAGCTCAAATTTGAACCCCTGGCCTTTAATGCCAAGTCCATTGGGCTTCCCATTGCACTATAATATAATCCCTCCTTTAAAAAAAAGAAGTAAAATAAAACAGTGTATGCTTTCAAAAATATTTTCTGTTTAATGCAGAATAATAGATTGCAATTTTATAGTGATGTTTTTAGGTTATTTCTTTTAAATACTTTTCATTGATACATTTTATTTTTATATCCCATATTCATGTTCAAGTATGTTCTCTCCCTTCCCCTACCCAGTGAGCTATCCCCTGAACCTACAATTAACCAAAAATAGCTGTCCAGCAGAACTAAGTAATACATCAACCATGCCTAATAGTATATGTAAACTATATTTTATTTTTTTAATTTTGTGAAGTTAGCTCATCATATATTTCTTTTAAAAATCAGTGAATTATAATGTATATTTAACCCTATATTGCTAAGCTTTGGGAAATGTATATGCTATTATTTTTAATAATGATATATTAAATGGAAAGGTAATTTTGTAGTAATAATATCAATAAAAATTTCTGATTTTATTGTTGTAACTCCTCACCAGAGTCTAGTGCCTTATATTCCAAATGTCCTGTGGCCTTCTCTGTAGAAGATGTGAGATTTCTAAACTGTGTGCGATGTTATTATAATGACTTATCTTTTGACTTTCCATTGCTTTCCAAAGTACTTCCATGTGTATGATGCCAGTTTATGTTCTACCGATCATATATACATGCCTCATCGTGTGCTGGAAATGTAGAATTGCTCATTTGGAATAAACAAGTTGGATTCCATTCTCTGAAATTCAGTTTCATGTTTTATCTTCTATACTTCCTCCAAATACAACCTCTTTCTTGACCTCCACATCCATGCACATCTTTCTGTAGCCTGGAAAGTTTCTTATTCCTTTGGAAGAATGCACAATTTGACAAGTAGTTAGTATGCCATATCTTCTTTATCTATGGGTGTCTTCTCTTCCATTTAAACTGTGAGTTCATTCTTCTTTTTTAATTTTTTTTTTTTAGAATTTTCATTCAGGAATTTTTGCATAGTTAAAAACTAAAACAGCTAATCACAGTGATCTTTTCCTTAAAATTAACATATTTTGTTTTGACATAGCCACTGTATCTCAACAATCATCCAATTAAACCCCAGTGGTGATTATTAAACCTGGTTTTGTGGCATCTGAGGATGAGATTTTTTTTTTTAAACTGCAAATTTCAAATTCATTTACCACAGAAAACTGGGCTTCAAATCTGAGTGAATTTGTTCTCAATCTTCTTTTAATTTTTGCCCAAGTTCTTTAGAACTCTTCTAATGTTTCCTTTCCCCCTCTCCCTGCATAAAGACCACCCTCTTCCGCTCATGATTTTCTCTCAATTTTGGAAGCAAAGATTGGCTTAAGGAGAGATGAGGAAGGGAAAGGAGGGGAGGGAAGGAAAGTGAAGGGAAGGGAAGGGAAAGAAAGGGAAAAGGGGAGGGTAGGGGGGAAGGGGGGAAGGGGAGGGAGAATACAGAGTCTTACCATAAGCATAATACTTCAAATAATACCTCTAGCCTTCTCCATGACTCTTGAGATTACATGAAACCCTTAGGTAGCATAGTAGAATACTGGGCTAGGAATCATGAAGACTTGAGGTCAAATCCTGCTTCAGTTAGGTGACACAGTTGGATAACAGTGCTTGTCCTAGAGTAAGAATGACCAGTATTCAAACATGGCCTCAGACTGATTTCAGAAAAAAACCTAGGAAGACTTATAAGAACTTATGCAAAGTGAAGTGAGTAGAACAAGGAGAACTCTGGAAATAGTAACAGCAATACTATGTGATGATCAAGGTGAATAACTTTGCTTTTCTCAGCAAAATAATCCTAAAGTACTCATGATGAAAAATGCTGTCTACCTCCAGAATAAGAACTGATGGAGTCTGGATGGAGATCAAAGCATACTATTTTTCACTTTCTGTATTTTGTGTGTATGTGTGTGTGTGTGTGTGTGTGTGTCTGTCTCTTCTTTCACATTATGACTATTATGTTGATATGTTTCTCATGATTGAACATGTATAACATTTCAAATTGCTTACTATCTCAGGAAGTGAGGAGGTGAAGGAAGGAGAGAGAAAGTTTGAAATTCAAAGTTAAAATTTGTCTTTACATGTAACTGGGGGAAAATATTATTAAAAATATGACCTCAGACACACTAGTTGTGTGAACTTAGGCAGGTCGCTTACTTGCTATCTGCCTTAGTTTCCTCAACTGTAAAATGATAGTAATGGCACCTGCCTCCTAGGATAGTTGGGAGGATCAAATGAGATATTTCATAAAGTGCTTAGCACAATGCCTTGCACAGAGTAGGTGCTCCCTAGGAAGCTAGACAAGTGCTGTGGTCCCTTCTGGTGACACGTCTACTCTGGGCCCTGGCTAAAAGACATGCAGAACCATGGGATCCTGGCTGGTCCCTTGGTTCCAGTGACTGGAGCTTGTGTTGAAGATGATTAGTTAGTGAGTCAAGAAAAGCCACCCCATCAGTAGGAGACTAGAAGAATGAAGAGAAGCTATTTCTAGTACGTATTGATTAGGCTAGGTACTCCTAATCAATTGATGTATCATCTCTCTTATTCTTCCAGTTAAGAGAGAGGGATTTCTATCACTTCCCAAACAGTGGCCACAGGGTCAACAATTCATGCATAAGGTAGTGGTAACCATTTTGCTTGCCTAAGATAAGACCTCAAATCTCTGGTTGCCTCTTCCATTTTGCATTTCTTTCCCTGAGCACAGGTGACCACACAGGGGAAGCAAAGGGGAAAGGAATAAGCATTCCCACAGCAAGAACTTTCTATGTGCCAGACACCATGCTAAGTGTTTTACAAATACTTCATTTGATCCTCACAACAGCCCTGGGAGGTAGGTGCTATTATCAGCCCCATTTTATAGTGGAGGAAACGGAGGCAAACAGAAATAAAATGATTTACCAAGAGTCACACAGCCTGTAAGTGTCTGAGTGTGGATTTGAACTCAGGTCTCCCTGACTCCAGGCCCATCATTCTCTCCACTTCATGCCCCAGTTGTCTCAGTGATCTTAAGAGATCAACATTCTAAGATTTGTAGCTACCCCAAAAGTTTGAGAGTCCTTGAATTCCTGGATCCCAGCAGA